GTAAATAAATAACGTTACTTCCTGAATTCCATGACAGTGACCTGTGTGTTCCCTCTGGGACCATCAATGCACTTTGCAAAAGCCTTTATGCTTCATCTCTATGACCAATAGGGGAATACTAGTTATGGGACAGAATAAACTTATAGCTTATTTCTATATGCTAATGCAACTGAATAATGCTAATACAAAACATTATTCATTAATATCAATTTCAAAGAGACGCAGACTTGGTCACTCAATCCAGATCTGAAATCCTTTCAATGCTGACACTGAAGAACAGTGTTCATTAAGCAGTGAGGGGACTATGGCCTTGCCTTCCTATGGCTCAAAGAACAGTGGAGAAAGGCAGCAAAGCCAATCAAAAGGGCTGGTCTGGAGGGGCAGATATTTAGATGTGAGGCAGCTAGAATCATGGATCTTGGAATATTAGAACCAAAGGCCCGTAGGCAATTATCTAGTCCAGTGGCTGGTAAAAAAAATTTTTTTTCCTCCAAAATGATTTACTTTCTTCAAATCTGAGGGGCCCGAGAGGAGGGGTGAGATAGGGAGACCAGGCCGAGGGCTAGTCCCCACACCCACGAGGAGCACCTGGGTTTTCATCTTACCTCCTTACTCAGAGTCTGCAACAGCCAACAACAAAGATTCCTGTGCGTAGCAAATGTTCAAAACTACTTGGCCTAATCCCTCACAGAAATGCTGAAAAATGAGAGTGTTAAGGGATTGGTGGCAGGTGGAGATGCCAACTGATCCTCTCTCATCTGTTTATTTTATTCACTAAATTTCTCAATTTCCTTATATTTTATGAGGAAGCTAAAAATAGTGTGGAGACAGAAGACAATTTCCACAGGGCGAGCTGGAAGAGTCATCCCATGGTATATATTTTAGAAATGATTACATGCCTTTTCACCCAAATTTAACTTGTAATGTTCACTTAATCAAGGTATGTTGCTCACGGCTCACAGATCCTATTCCCCAAATTAGAGTTAACTGTTAACAACCAATTAAAAACATTTTAAAAAGTATAAGAATTGGAAATGGAAAATAAAATTATATTTTTAGGCTAAGGCCCTAGAAATTAGAATTTATTTGTTACTACGTGGAAGAGTCTGTCAGAATGTAGACACTTAGTGTATATATAGATCAACCCTCCAGTGTAAATAAGATTAATTCTGTGGTTCCTTATCTTAACAAAACACTATCTAAGTGTAGATTCTAGTTTTGTCACTTTATAGGAGGCGATTATAGTTCTGAGTAGTATTTTGAAGGTTACAGTTCAAAACTGTGGCAACTTTACTTTTAGGAAGAGAAACTGATTTCATTTGCCCCAATGTTTCTGCGTAGTACACGAATAGCTTCAAAATAATCAGCAATGTCCTAAATTTTAAGTTGAGTGATGGGTTCCTAGATTTTTTGTTTTATTATTACAATTAAAACAACATATTCATTAAAAATTTTTATATTAAACTAAATACTACTGAATAAACCATTTTAGTGACACTGCGCTCACTTTACAGGGTACTTCTGAGGCTGATTCAAATCTACTTAAGTGATTCACTGGGTAACTGTCAGGGGTCACTTAGGTAAATTACAGGTATAAACACATTGCAAAGACATTTTGTGACAGGCAAACAGCTGAATTTTCAGGACATATGAAGTTCTTACAAGATACTACTTTGTTTGAATGAATTTCTACCAGTCATCGTCTATCACCATAATATTGCACAACCACTTAATGAGACCAAGTTTATTCCATCACACACTACAGTGGGAATAACAGAAGCAAACATATATTATTTCCTATTATTGAGACCTATTCTGTGTGCATTAAATATCTTGTATTATTTAATATTCCCAACTCTATTAGGTAGGTACAGATGAGGAAACAGACTGGGAGACATCAAGTAATCTACCCAAGGTCACATAAATCATCTTCAGATCATTCTGCCTCTATGTTCTTAATTATCTATTATGCATAATAAAACTTCAAATACATGTAAAAGAAGAAAATATAGCCCAAAACATTTAATTTGGAAAGAAAATATGTTCACTGCATTAATTTTTTTTTTTAAAAAAAGAAAATCCTACACACTCCAACAAGTTTTGGTACTCTTGCCAAAAAAATAAAAAAGCAAATAGATTCCAACTAGTCTATACTTCTATTTATATTTAGAATATGAGCTGGGCATGAGTATGTAATGAATATATAAGTGTGTCTCTCTCTGTGTGTATAACACCCACATTATTCATAAGCTCCCAAAAATGTGAAAAGTTTGTTCCAAACCTTCTCTATTTTGTCTGCTTTAAGAATTCTTTGCAATATGCTTATGTAAATAGTGATTTTAGCTGCTGTTCTCATTTCTCAAATCTTCAGCTTATAAATGGATTGGAAAAGTGACAGACCTAAGCAGACAACTTTGGAACACAAAACCAAGGAGATATAAACAAATACAGCTAAATCAAAAACAAAAGGCTTCTCCTTTAAACCCTTTAACTCATCACTACTGATAAATGAAAAGAACTAGAAGAGAGTAAAATGTACTGGCTGTGGATAAGGTGTGTGTGTACTCAAGTACACATGCATGTACATATAGTTATTTGGGTGTCTATTTTATTAGCACACACAATAATCAGCATTCTTCCTTAGTTCGCTTAAAGCTCTACAGGAGCGTACAGTCTAAACTAAAGAAGGTTCTGAAGTTGGAATAATGTTAGGGCAAAGGAGAGTACTTAAGAAAACAGTTCCAGGTTGTTAAACTCAACAGGTAAGTGGCTTCCACTTTCTTATACCCGAATTCACATTATGGTTCAATTGCATTAATAGCTCATTGACTCTGCAGGTGATTTGCCTCCATCCACCCTTCAAAGAGATGCTGAAGAGAATTAAGGATAAAGTCAAAATATCGCTATTCCACTTACCTGACACTGCGCCTCCATTACAGCCTTAAATAAAGGTTATTATGACATCACAGATCATAAAGCACAGTGTAAAGAATATGTTGGCATGAAACTACTAAAAGTTGTGAATATACTGTTTCCACTTTAGAAGTGTGAAACTCAGCAACGTTGAGGTTAGTACCTGCAATTATTATATATGATATTGTTGAAATGAATATTGAAACAGAAGACACTTTTTGATGAGGACTTGGCAATGATATCAGTGGATTTTGCACTTTGATGACATAATAATCTCATTATTGGAAACACATTCTAAGTAGAGCATTTTTGTCATAGTTAAGAGCTGAACATACATCTGGTATGTATCTTCTCCATATAAGCTAAAACTCTACAGAGTTTTTTACATATAAGCAAAGTAATACTAAGAACAATTTTTCCAAAATAAGAAAACACTTTTATACTCATCCAACATTGTGTAAGTGTAAAAATTATTTGAGATTCATAACTGCAAAGACTCTCCAGTCATAAGAATCTGTCATTACAGAATTTAAATAAACATTCCTGGAATTAGAAAAAGAAGTGACAAAAAGCATAACAAAATTCTAGAGGTGAATTTCTTCTTTCAGAGTGCTCATACTGACAAAATAAAAAAAAAAATTAGGATGTTCAGTCTAGAAGTGACCAAAGGCTAATAAGTCAGTGGCATTGGCCACCTTCTGCTGAAGAAAGCAAAGAGGGAGAATTTAGCTTTGGATAGAGAATAAACATTGACAGTCTCCAGATTTTACTTCCAGCATCTCAGCCCACATCCAGCCTGGTGTGAAGAGATGGCAGATGGGACTACTTCTGTTATTTCGACTGCTGAGGCAGGAGCCTGTTTCAGCATCCTGCTTGTTTCTGTAAGCATGAATATTCAACCACAGTAAGGAGCAAGGATAAGTGTGCTGACTGTATTAAGCAGGTACCAAAAAATCTTTATCCTTTCTCTCTTCATAGCATAGATTATAACAACAACAACAACAACAACAAAATCAACATTTAGAAAATGCCACTTCTTCCAAGCTTAGAAGAGACTTATTAGTCAATGAAATGATGCTAGTTTTTGTGTATGTAACGTAAAAGTATGGAGAGAAATGTGTGGGCAGAAGAAAACCAGAGTAATTAGCATTTTAGAGGAAAGACATTTAAAGGCAACAAAATTCAATCAGTAATTATTTTCCACTTTATGTTCATAATTTCATTATTTTCTCAGAAAATGCTGAGCAGGCTTTGGAGTATCACTATTCGTCGTTCAGAACACAAATCAGATTCCTTTAAATTTCTTTAAATATCGCAACAAACGTCTACGCTGGCATGTTACCCAATTGTGTAAGTAATGTCTATCTGTAGGTCTTTTGTATTAATATCTTGAAAAGTGTTAGTAAATCAAGAAGAGTAATTTAGCTGTAAATAAAAGAAATGAAGCGACAATTTCCTTGCAAATGAGAAATATTGTAATAAGCCCTGAGGTATGTCACTGTCCACCTGCATTCTTCCCAAAGGACAGAGAATAATGTCTTGAAATAAAATAATACATCTATATTCGCTAAAATTAGTTTAATGATTGCTGAAAGAAAATCTAAAGGCCACCTACTCAGATTGTGAGGGAACACATCCATTAAAACATGATCTCATATGAAAATTTTAAAAATGGCAACTCATTGTATATACGGGGAAGTTCTTCAAGAGGTCTTAAATATATACGTCAGAGCATAAACTGAATTCCATCCTCCACACAATACTTCTCACTAAAAAAAAATAACTTTGGAGGAAAGGTGGCATGAGCCAATCCAGTTTCCCTGTATCCCCTTACACTGCCAGATACAAAGCAAGTGTCCTGGGTGCTGGGAGCCAGACACGTCTCAGACTGACTCGTGATCCCTAGAGTCTAGTAGGTCATGTATTTTAAAAATAAGATCACTCTTAATACAAGAATGGACACCAGTCTTCTCTTTAGGACTGAGAGGGGATAGCTTGGATTTTTTTCCACATCCTAATGAGCATACATTACACAAGCAAATCAATGCGAATGTGAGGCACATATGTGAAAGTTGAGATAAACTTACGAAGTAGCCTGTTCCCAAGCTGGAAGGAGCTGAACTCTGCAAGAAAGCATAAAGACAAAGTGGAAAATCAGCAGTGGTTTTTAACACGTTCCAATCCACACAGCTCATTACCAGCCCTTCGCAGGCTTTTCATCACTACACCACATCGCCAGTGTATGCGGCCCCTTGTCATCTGCTACTGATAAAAACACCGTGTTGCTTAATTTTCCCCTTTACATCTCTCAGCAACTCAGAGATGCTAACGTGCTATTTACTGAATTCCAAGCTTCTGCGGTGGACGTAATTGCCAATTTATTTGACAGGCAGCTGGGTAATGAATTAATGATGGCATTTCGCCCTGCACTGAGACTAAACAGACACGCATCAGCCTGCCTCCCTGACTTGCTGACATTCAATGCCCTGGTCTCAAGCTACTCAGTTTTGTGGCCGCAAAGGGGCAAGCAAGAGGAAAAAGCCCAGACTGACTTGAAAATAAAAAGCCCAGTGGGTTTGGATGACTTTTCCAGTGTATGACCTACTTGCCAGTTTATTCCCTAAAGGCTTCAGTTAGTACACACAGAGTGCTTTTCAAAAATGAGACATTTTGTAAACATAATTAGTAGACTAAAATGCAAAGAATGTGTGGGTAAAGGAAAGCAATGAAAAGCACCATTTTTCTAAAGGTTTTAGTCACAAAAATTAGGCTTCCACAGTTCTTACACACAGGGAACGAAAAAAGCGTAATGCTGAAAGTTACAAAGTGCATCACTTATTTGGAGAAAGAGACCCCCCAAAAGAACTTGGTTTGTGTTTTAAATGTCTGTGTTTGTATGTTTCTTTTTCCCAAATTCTTTAATCTTTAGTGTCCTCTTTATAAATGAGAGGCTTGAAACAAAAAGAACGCTAACGCTTAGGCAGTCCTCAGGTCTCAGCTAAGCACCCTTGCACTAGCAAGGCCTCTCCCTTCCTAGCTTGGGCTGTTACACCTTCCCTGGAGGGCCCAGACTTCTATTACGATACGAGTTACTAAGACCACTTCTAACTGTTCCACCTACAGGTCCTGTCCCAGCTCTGCAAACCACAGGTAGCAGGGACCATCTGGTTGACTCATCCCCACGTCCCTAGAGCTCAGTTCAATGCCTTGCACAGAGGATGCATTCAGTGTTTGTTGAATTAATGTATGAATGAATGAATGAATGAATGGATTGTATGGGGTGGGGGAGAAGCTCAGGTGAATTTAACATCTCCCAAAATGGAGTAGATGTGATTCTTGACTTTACACCGGTTTTGAGAAGGAAGTACAGTGCTGTCAGTATAAACATCATCTGCATCAAACAAGGACAGTATGCTCCAGGGCTCCTAAATGCAGTTCACAAAGCAGAACTTTCTTCCCCTCAGTGTTCCAGACAAGCTCAAGGGAATAAAGAACACTAGATGTGTGATCCTGCACACTGGACTTGGTTTAAAAAAATCCTGCTGCATTCCTTATCCCATAAATGGTATGGAGGGAGATCCACAGTAGTCATGGAGACAGCTTCTCAGAGCAGTGATTAGCCATGTGACGGCATCACCTGTTTTCGGCACCCACAGCCCTCTGTGATGCAGAGGAAGGCAAAAGCCACATTAGGTCTCCACCAGCCTAGAGTCATCCCCCGGGAGGTAAACTCATTTTAGGATGAATTACTCAGGGAGAGCATGAGATTTGTTTATTTCAGTACTTTTCCCCTTTTCTGCAAATGTATTTTTTACCCCAGAAGCAGAAGGGCCCCTTCAAACCCACCTCCCCACCTCCACATACATATCATCTTACTGTATACCAAAGAAAATCACATCCTTCAGGTCTCGGGAAGCTCTGTTATACTCATTTTGCATATATATTGTACATTACTCAGGGAGCTGGGTGGAGAAGAGGGCTTTGTTGTGCATATTTGTTCTGGCTATTGTTTATGCAGGTCTGACTGAATGAGGGAACAGTGGGTATCATTTCAATTTCTGATGTCAACATCAAATTACTTATTTAATTTCATGCCTGGCGAAGCATTGTATAGCTACACGCAGAATCATTTCACTTCATTTGTTATGCTGTGTTTTCGTGGCGATTGGCTTGCCTTCCAACTGACAGCTTTAATTACGACATGAATTTGATTGCACTGCCGAGGAATTAACATAATGCAACAAAGCATTTAAGCATCCTGCCTTATAACACACTCCCCAACACACACACATGCACGCACAAACACAGACAGACACATGAAGGAACACAGACACTAGACCTTCATGTACATTAAGGGCCCGCTGGAGTTTCAGTATTTGCCAGAAAGCATACAGAACCTTAGAGGCTCCCCACACTTGTCAACCCACCGTACTCACCCTTTTTTTTTAATAGAAGAAATTATGTGGCATTAAGTTATAATTTCTGGACCTGTCAAAAAACCTCATAGAAAAACCCTTCCGATCTACTTTATCAAATGTCCCTGGCATTGATACTGCCTCCCCGCTACTCCCTTCTCCACCATGTTTTTCTTGGCCAGTTGCCAGCTCCCTTCAATCATCACTGGAGAATCTGAACAGGGACATCTCTGAAATAAAGAGATTTCTCCTTGTCCAGTTCTATAAAGCCTAGGAACCTGGCTGTGGCCCTGTATTCACTGGGACGCTAACCCTGGTTACCAGCAGGATCTCCACCAGCAGACAGACAGAAGTAGAACAGAAGTTCTGAGACCAGCAACAGGGCAGGAGTCAGGGTTTCACTGATAGCTCAGGACACACATCACATCCCTGAGGCCTTGCCAATCAAAAGGCCTAGAAGAATCTCAGTCATTTATGCCTAATCTAAGCCTGTATCTAAATACAGGTGCAAATATTTGATAGCTTTAACATTTTTGCAAATCAGAAATTCCATAAACACCTGAAACCATAGGCAACGACAGCTTATGCTACAAAAAAATGGATAAATGCTTAAAAACAGCTTTTTTACTGTTAGAAATATGTTGGCTATATGTTTACAGATGTGCATTTAGGGATTGTTAATTGCTTTCTTGTGTTATAGAAGAGACAGACACCAAGAGATAAAGGCTTAGAAAAGCAGATAGGTAGTGATGTCCTGACCAATGATACATCTGATGGAATCAAGCTGATTTTAACTTTGTGTTTCTCCAATTTACAATGAAAAGAAAGGTCTTCCATTTTTCTTACTTGGATACTCTGTTTGAACTATATAGCAAAAGTGGCCACAAACTCTAAAAAAGACTATGAGTCAAAATAAGGCTTGAAAAATTTAAAAATTTTTTAAAAATTACAATAAGTAAAAGTATCCTTGGATTCAAAAGCATTAGAAATAATGACATACACCCATATTTAGGCAAATACGTCTGTTGAAAGATGAAAAAGGCTTCATTCTTATTTCTTCAAGTGGTAGAGTTGCCAATTCATTCATATTTTCAATGTGCTAGGGAAAAATCAGAGGTATAGAGAGACTGAGAAAAACAGAGTAAGTGTTTAGCAGTTGCATGAGAAGACAAGAATATGAGGAAATTCCAGTCAGCTGGCTATCTCATGTGTGATTTCTAGGCTCATTATAAGCTATCTCCTGTTTAACATGGTATTTTCATTCTGCTGGTGGTTTTGGGGGTTTTTTGGGTTTTTTTGCAGATTTGACCACTGCTCCAGCAATCTCTGCAAATTACCAACCTCGATCTCATTATGTGGCAAAGGAAAGCTTTCTTACAAACACACTCTGCCTCAATCTCCAAGCTACACGGGCTGCAGGAATAGTAATGGGATGCACAGCTGAAAGACATTTTCCAGGAGGGAGAATGTTGCTGCTGACATTCAAGTCTGCAAGTGGATATTCATTAAATGCTCATTCTACTCTTTCTCACTGCCCCCCACCTGACTTTCTTTTCATCTCTGTCACTAAGCTATCATTGAAGCTACTCATTAAACTCATGAAGTTAACATTTCTGTTTTAACAGCTTACCTACAATGAGGGATTTCAAAATTGATTATCCATCTAAAATAGACATGCTCCATTCATTAGAGATCTATACATAGAGGTCATGGCTACTATTATGGCTCCGTAAGTATGGGATGGATGTGCGCTCCACCCCTAGAGGAAGATATATGCTCTGATCTTAAGGCTAATTTAAATCGAATATTTTAAAATTCTTCCAAATATTTAATTGTGTCTGACATCCCTGCCTACCCACCTCCATGTTATGCTTTTCTCTCTTGGGAGTAAAAAGCAGAAGGATCATGCTAGGACCCACTTGGCCAAGTATGTTCCTTACAAAGGTCACAAGACAAGCTCATTTATTCTCTGTAGAATTTTAGAAAACAATGACAATTAAAAGAACCTAAAATCTTAATCCTAAGAGAAGCCCCTTGGAGATAAGATTACTAATAACTTACAAAGATGCAAAATATATTTAAGTGGGGAAATGAGCTACTACTGGAATTCAAGAAAAAATGCGGGCACAAATTGAAAAAAGCATCAAGTATGGAAATGGTCACTTTCAACTTGAATTTTCAACCCTCTGTTATAACCCACTTCAAACTATTACCAGCTCTCATCTCTACTCAATAGCCTTCTGGCTTCTTTCCATAATTTCATTCTTGCTCTTATTTTTATCTGCAGTTCTACACATACAAAGCAAACATCTTCCAGAGGCTTTTAAAATAATAACCAGTATAGTGGGTTGAATAGTGTCCCCCTATAATTCATGCCTGCTTGGAACCTCAGAATGTGATTGTAAGGAATAACTTTATGCATCAACTTGACAAGGCCACTGGTTACACAGATATTTGCTCAAACATTATTCCGCATGTTACTGTGAGGGTGATTTGGGTTGAGTTTAACATTTAAACCAACAAGCTGAGTAAAGCATACTGCCCTCCCTAATCTGGGTGGGCCTCATTCAACCAGTTTAATAAAACAAAAGGATGACCATGCTCAGAATAAGAACGAATTCCTCTTCAGTCTTCAAACTAGGACAATTTTTTCCTGCTTTAAGACTCAACTCAAAGTGAAACAGACTTTTCCTTACTGTCAAGCCTTC